ATAAACAGACTAATATTAATCTCCCCCCACCTCCTCTCTCTCTCCGTCTAATCTCTCGCTCTCCCTGGACACGTTTAATCCAATCTGCATTACCTCAATTACAAACAAAGCTAAGTCCTCAACCAGCACAAACCACAAAATACCAAGAAAATCAGAAAAAACAGCAATACAGAACAAACAATACAAGATCCATTCCTTCAATATTGGGTTATCTTACAGACCTGGATAGTTCCAATGGCCCATTGCATTGATGATTTACAGCACATTGTACACTCCCTATGGCCACCATGCTCATCCCTCGAGAGAATTTTTTTTTTCCAGGTGGCTTTTATTATTATTGTTTTTTTGAGAGGCTAGAGGATTTTTTTTTTCGAGAGGCTAGAGGATTTTTTTTTTCCTGGGTTTTTTGTTTTGGGGGGTGGGTGGGTGTTGTTGTGATGCACCAAATAAGAAAGTGAATCGCCCCAAATATCCAGCTTGCAATTCCTGAAACAACAACATCAAAGATCTAAGAAGATCTAGATGAAACGACTCTCCCTAACTCTAATAACTCCCCCGTGGACAAAAATATCATTTATCATTTATCAGTTGCGATTTGCAAGACAAGGATCTTAAAGTCCGGTAAGATCTCAAATAAAAAGGAAAAAAAATAAAAACGGAATAGATAACCGAAAACAAAACTGCAATCAAAATAACCATCAATGAAAGAACATAAAAACAAAGGGATACACTTTGGTTTTCTTCATCAGGCCAGCCCAGACTTCAATCAAAAGTAAACAATAATAATTATAACAAAATAAAACAGAATAAAGTAGACTACTTCGCCTGTAAAAGCTCAAATAGGAAGGCAGAAAGGCCAAAAAAAAGCGCGAACAAAAGCGAATAACCAAGCATTCACCGTTTGCTCTGTGATCTTCTAAAACAGAATCTTATTAGGAGCTATGTAAGCAGTAAGAAGATGTTAGATCTGAAGATACCTCAGTTGGTAAAAATGGGACACTTTCTTGCAAAAGATCATATGTTCGAATTTTTCTGCCGATGTGAGGGCTATGTTGGTGGGTGATTTGAAAGTATCTCTGCAAGTGACCTAAACCTATGGTTTCGAAAGCTTGCCGGTCCGTGATGAAGATCGGAACCGAACCCACCCAAACTTTTAATTACCATAAAAAATGCCTTGCATAGGGATGGCAACGAGGGTGGAGGCCCATTTTAAATGAGGCGGGACGTGGTGAACGATACTTTCGCCCCATTCCCAGCTTTAATTTATTAATATAAATAAATGTAATATATTATATAATCTAATAATAACATACTTGCCCCTCGAGCTTAGATCACCTAGTCTTGGGATAGCCATTCAGGTTCCAAGATCCAGGGTTCAAACCTCTCTTAACTTCTGGGTGCTCTTGAGGGGCGGGGTACTTCATGTATAGGGTGATTAGTCCGGCAAAACTGGGATATACTCTGTATTGACAAAAAAAAAAAATAATAACATACTTAAAATATTTGGCAACTAAATATTACCTTCACTAACAACATCCTTCACTAACATTTTATCAAAAACCTTTCTTGCCTCATTAAGAAGTCTAGAATTCCCATACCTGGAAGGCATAAAATTCCTAGACTCCAATTTCTTTACAAGCATCTCACTAATCAAATTATGAAATAAAGATGTTAGGACATTGATTGGGAGATGCCAAATTCCTAGTTGATATTTGGCACAAGCATGTTACGTTCTATACAGTGACGGAGCCAGGATTTTTTTTTTGGGGGGGCCAAAATTGAAATTCCATTCAAAGATGACTAATTCATATATATATATATATATATATATATATCAACTCTCATAATATAAACTAAAATTGAAAAAATTTAGGGGGGGCCAATTTTATTTTACACACATATTTACATATTATGAATTAAAATTCTCAAAACTTAGGGGGGGCCATGGCCCCCCTCTGCCCCCCCTTGGCTCCGTCATTGGTTCTATATGAGTATTCCTAGATATTATCTATACAATCTAATTGAGACTCTTAATTTTCTGTGTTTTATTTCAACATTTTTTTTGTTTCATTTTTCATTTTTTACTTTTTTCAGTTTCATATTTTATTTTATTTTTTGAATTTAATTTCAATCTATTGAATAAACATTTTTAAAAAAAAAATCAAATTATCACCCGCGGGCACCCGCAGAAGAAGCGGGGCGGGGCGAACGAAGGCAAGGGACGGGGCAGGGGAAAGGGGAGTTTTTTGATAATGGGGGTGCAAACCCTCCTCCTTCCTAAACCCGCCGGTTGCCATCCCTAGCCTTGCATCTTTTTCCCAGTCACTATACCTATCTCAAATCTTGGTGCAACAGCAATACTTTGGTAGTTGAATTGTGGCCTCACGCGCTGCGTGAGGGTGTCCGGTTTATTTTAAATGTATGCATAATTAAAGTATTAACTAAATCAAAGGAAAGATAGGGTCAGCTAAATGAGCTAATTAGTATACTATTTACGAATGTATTACACTTAATTCTGTGAGTCAGCATCAGAGGGCCTAGGTGAGCATTGAACCTTAGGAATGCCAATATTGGGATATTTAGTATTTGAAGTGGGCAAATTCTCCGAGAGAAAGATTAAAGAAACAATGGAAAATGGTGCGCACATGTAGTTAAACCTTTTCAACATCGGGACAAAAGAGTGAAAAGTTTACCCTAACTCCTCGTCAATTTTGGTTAATTATAAAATGTCTCGGATAGCTGTTCTAGGATATTCATACTTACAATGTGTCCTTACAATTTCCAGGATGGTACAGGTACCTTGACATTATGAAGTGTTGTCATGTTATACTGGAATCAATCTAGTTTCTTCTTCAAGAAATAGATGAAACACCCCAGGAGTGAAATGGAGGAATGTACAAACTTTTAGCCAGCTAACAGTGTGAATTAATGGCGTTTCCAGGCAACCAACACATATATGCTTTATCCCTGTCATCAAGTAATAGAATCTAAAAAACAAATTTAACTCCCTAAGGTGCGTAGCAAGGCAAGGTTAGACCATAATCTTTCAGCCGTCGAATGATCTGAAATTTGGTGAAGTGAGAACTCTCAGTGGCTGGAATTTGCTTTAGGTTCCGTCACTCAAAATTACTTGGCTACTTCGATCAAGCCTCCACGTTTGCCCTCAAGAGTCAAAAAAACCCTGCACCGATCCCCAGAATCAATCAAAAGTAGAAGCCATGGTAATAACAAAACAATACTAATAGAAGTGGACATAATCGCTCAATACATGTTTGTTTGAAGTTCAAGCATGGGAGCTCGAGCCTTTGTGACGTATTACTGAGGATTCTCGCTTATTATTCTCAATAAAAGTCAGGTTATGGTGTTTTGAAACCAGAAAAAAATATAATATGTATATCTATATAGAATCTTTAAAGAACTTTGCTCCTGCATATCAAATTTTCACTCTTGTATTGGCATTCCAATTACAAATAAGTATTCCACAGTTTCATGGAAACATACATAACAAGACCTTGTTCATTGTGTGGCATTATCTTTCACCTCTTTCATCTGCTTAATCTAATATGAGATTCTAAAATCTTTTATTTCCTAGTGCTGTTCTAATGTTGCAGAAATTGGAGCTATAGGGGGAGAAGAAAAAAACTTGAGTCCAAATCTACTCTAATGAAACTGTCCACGTTAGCAACTTTTCACCTGCAGTCACTAAGCATAATTGTACCAAGTGAATTTGGCCATACAAGTTGCAGCAACGAACGATTTCTGACTATCTGTCTCTATCCCCCTCTCTGTCTTGACACTATATGATCACTGCAACTTAAATAAAGCATGAAGAGCAATTATATTAAACCAGACTAATATAATTAAAGATAAACAGATTAATTCTTATCTCACTTTTTGTTCTCTCTGCCTAATCTGTCTGTCTCTGGAGCATATGTTGTTTGAGTCGACTAAAGACCTTCCGTTTGCCTTTCTATTATGCTCATATTGATTAAACCCTTCTGCATCTTCATGCCTGATTGGGACTTGACCCTTTTTACTTCTTGTTGCTGATGTTAAAGTTCCAGAAGTGTTTATTCTCTTACTAAGCATGCAGGAGAATGGTTTATTTGATGATGAAAGAGATGTCTCTCCTTGGGGATGAGGTGCAATATTATGTTTGTTGAGATCTACATTGCAGTGTTACATGCACTTGTTTTGGTCCAACAGGTATGAGCTCTTGCACCTCTGGTGCATACACTGTATTTTATCAAGTATTTATTCAAGTCATTCTGTCTTGCACACAAAGATGCAAATCAGCATCGAACGAATATCTCTAACCATCTGAGGAAATATCAGTTGCCTGGTTTGAGTAAATCTTGGGAGTGCTTCAATTTCTGCCATTTTTCTTTGTCTTGCGTTTTATCTACACTGCATTGGGATTTCGGACTAGATGTGTGTCAGTGTCACTGATCATATGTTTTGCAACAGGTTTTACATTTTAAAATTTTTTAAATACAAAATACCTCCTCAAGATTTTCATCTTTTGGTAGAAAATAGTCTCTCTCTCTCTCTCTCATGTTAGTCGAAACAAGCAAAAGAATATGAAAATTAGGGAAATGATATATTTCTTTTGGATCATCAATTCAACTCCCAGTGGTACCTGCCTTTTCTTCGTCTTTTTTTAATTCTTTATTATTGTTTTTAAAGACAGAGTAGTATATATTCTTATACTAAATACTAATGAATTCAAAGGACCGTATTAGCTTTATGCTAGCAAGAATTTAAATGGATGCATGGTGAAATGAAACTAAGACATCATGGAAAGTTTTGAACTTGAAAATGTTAAGGTAACTTCCATGGGATGATAGAAGAACAGAATAAGATAAAAGTTTAGGATAGCTTCAAAGAGGGGTGTTAGATGCCACAATGACGGAGAGTAACTTGAAAATGATGGTATTACTTGTAGTTAGTTGAAGAATAGATAAGAACACAACTCTCCCCACTCACATAAAGCAGGTCCTGAATAAAATTGAATGGGATAAAAGGATTAACGTGATGTGCTCAACACAATAAGGTCTGGTTCTATTTCTGAAGTCCTAGAACTATCTCAATATTTTTAAGAGACAAACAAGTAGCTAAATATCATGTATTTGACTTTAGTAGTTAATTACATACTCAAAACTCTATTGTACGTGATGGCTAATATATTATACACTGTGTTGCTAGCAAATGAGCATCATCGAGCAACTAGTCTTGTGATGGTTGCAGTATCAACTTGTTCTGTTCCTTCTGACTGTGTGGAGGGCTTATCTCCACCTTCGTCTTTTTTAATAGAGAAGGCTGGTCTTTTTGGATGCTTCATATCCAAATTCTCGTTCCTAAGCATATGAGAAATTTCTAGCATGTTAGGTCTATCATTTGGATCTTCTTGAACACACTGAAGAGCAATTTGAAGGCATCTCATTAGTTTGCAAGATGAATGTGTGTCATCCAGTGTTTCATCTAGAAACTCTTTGCCTTCTCCATTTTTCCATAGCTCATATGCCTGTATAAAAAGTTCAAAAAGTCAAATAACTGCAATCCAGTTATACTTTGAGCAAATTGTTTGCAAGTTATAGTGATTCTACCAATGCGTCTGCAATAACTTACATATTCTAGGAGGTTTATATTTGAATGAGGTCCATAAAAGCATGTATTTTTTCTTCCACTGATTATTTGAAGAAGTAGAACTCCAAAGCTGAAAACATCCGATTTTGTGGAATATATCCCTTCTCGTACATATTCAGGTGGAACATAACCACTGCAGCATACATCATAAGCTTAGCAACACATGAGAGCATTCTTTAGGTTAGTTGTAGAATCATTTCACTTACTAGGTGCCAACTACTCGATCGGTGTTTGCTTCAACCTTGTCCTTTTGGAATATTTTGGCAATCCCAAAATCTGATATTTTGGGTTTCATTTGATCATCCAATAGAATATTGCTAGCTTTTAGGTCCCTATGAATTACTGTTAGTCTTGAGTATTCTTGGAGATACAAGAGCCCTTGAGTCACTCCCTCGATGATTTGTGCGCGTTGTTCCCAGTTGAGGGACGAGCGGTTGATTGGATCTATAACAGATAAATTAGTAAAAAAGGACAAAATTATGCATGCAAGAAACTAATCCAATAGTACGCAATTCAAGAATAGTAAAACAGGACCTGTGATCCTCTAAAGAATATCAAAACCAAACTTAGATGGATCTTCCATGGTTCTGCAAAGCACCTGAGGACAGTCCTTGAGCTAAATTAGTTGATTGATTAAACAAAATTTTAGAACTGGTACTACCCAAAGAAAGTATTTGGGTAGAAGTTTTATGTATCTGATTCCATGGATTCATGTTTACTTGCGTTAATTCTTTCATTTAATTAAATCTTTTCCAGGTCTGGATTTACTTTGAACTTTCGTCTGCCAATCTGTAAACTTGGCGATTAGTTCTCAATTGTGCATATGCCAAGCTATGTATAATTGTGAAACCCTATTTAAAATGTAGATGCACTGAGATCTGAAGGTAATTTTTTCTAGACAAAAGAATTAGAAGTGTCATCGGCCTCTCTTAACTTTTCAGTCTGTCTTGATGCGTATACTAAACTTCCAAGCTTTGTCTTTTTGTCCTTTTACTTTGTGATTGTGCTTTAATATAGTCCAAATGTTAACATCCCTTCTCAATTCGATTTTAACATGCAACCAGCATGTAGTAGACTTGAAAGCCAAAAAGTAAACTCCATATTCCTCCAATTTATCTGTATCCACATATCTTCCTGGAGTATTTTTACCATTTAGGCCTATATTAATTCTATCTCAGTTGATCCTGTGTATGTTCAGAAGCAAATTTTCCACCAAAAATAGCCTTTCCTTGTCCTTTATTTGTTAGTGGTTTTACTAGACTTGCAATTAAAAGAATGGAAAACATCATTGCATACATGGCCTAGTTCCATTTCCAGTAAATGGCTTGCCCTATTAGCAGTTCAAGTGGAGGCAACAGGGCAGAAATCGGCCGCACTAGATGACACACCTTTTCTTCTTCAGGGTAATACTATGTGATTCTTACTACAGATTTAGAAATGTAGATTTATAGTAGGCAACCTTTGTTATTAACACATATATCAGGTAGGAGAGTTTGGATGGTCACACTTGAACTAGATTGAGGAATATTTGTTCTTCCTTATTGACAATATTGGTGGGAGTAGCCTAGTCCTGATATAGCCAATGAGGCTTATGATTCTGTGTTTTCAAGTCGTCACATTGAGTTAAACAGAATGAGGAGAACTAGTGTTTGGACTATTCAACTTTAGGTGCGAAATTTACAAAATTCAAGTTCAAGGAGCCAATTTGAGATCAAGCACAAATAACCTTATATGGGTGCATCGATCAGCTCGACTATCTTATATGGGTGCAATGTTCTCTTGTCTTTACTGGATTGTGCCATAATATGATGTGTTATACAACTCAGTAAATTTATTTAAGTATATTATAAGTTACTGACATAGGAGATGCTCTGCAAACAATTAAACAATCATTAGTAGAACATACTCTTCACGGAGAAACTGAGAGTTGGATCAATCTTGTGAACCTAACTTACCAAATTCCAGGAGAAAAAGGACAGATGAAGGGAGGAGGCATAAATGTCCTGTTCATTTGACCAAGGGCCTTAGCACTTGTTAGAGATGATTGCCTTGCAAATTGTACAAACTAACATGGCATAGTAAATGCAAATGCTCACATAGCGATTTACACTCTCGACTGGAAATGTTCAAGCAATCAACCTTTCTCTGTAGCAAGAAGTCTTAACCATTCAAAAAATTGAATTGCAGTTCAAGCCCGCACTTGGCCGATAGTTGGCCCCCTAATCACCTGTTCACTAAACTTAATACTTTTTCCTACTTTTAAACCTAGGCTTTGCTTACTCTTAGTTTTCAGATGTTAGATTTTAAAAAAGTTGCAGCAGTGTCTTGTTCAGTGAGAATTTCTTATGCTTCTTTGCTTAAAGAGATGTCTTAGTTCATTTACTCATTGAGTAATTAATGATGCATAAAAGTACACTGACATACCATAGATGTAGAAATCCAAGCTCTTGTTGGGCATGTACTCATATACCAGCATCTTCTCTTCTCTTTCAATGCAAAATCCCAGAACACTTACAAGATTGACATGTTGCAGTCTGGCTGTAAGTAATACTTCATTTTTGAATTCTTCAATTCCTTGTTTGGAAGTTGCAGAAAGCCTTTTTACTGCTACTTCTCTGCCGTTTAATAATATAGCCTAAAAAATAGACATCATTCAACAAGTCTTTGCTAGTACATGGTGTATATATCATGTGCTGTAAATGCCTAACCCACTCAAAAAGTTCATGCCATTATGCCAAACATGCTTATATGTTTTCAATATAGACATTTTTTGGCAAAAATCTGAGTCAACTTTTGGGTCTCTCTCTCTCTCTCTCAGTACTGGTTAATTATGGTCCAAAATTTTATTTCTGCAATAGTTTGGAACTTCTGAACATGATCGCGCTATTGTATTTTATGTAGTTTGTGAGCAAAAATGAAGTTGGCCTACTTGGCATGGGTTTGACTATTCATTGGAAACTAATATAGTTTGACTGAAGTCAATTTAGCATTTCAGGTTAGTTCAAATTGTAAGCATAAGCTTGTATGTTCACAGTGGTTCTAATGCACAAGGCTTTTGCTGTTACGGAGACAGGAACAGGGCGAGACTTCAATCTACTTCCATGTATACTACTTTTAGTCACAAAAAAAAGAAAAATACACATGTCTACAACATAACTGAAAGTCATTGAAGAAGGTAGTTGGTAGTGGCCTTCACTGTGATGCTATTCTCCTCTAGTTTGTATACATCTAAAGGTAAATAAAACAATATTACCTTGTAAACAGGCCCATATCCTCCTTGACCAAGCTTGTTTTCATTTGAAAAATCATTTGTTGCTGCCTTAATATCGTCAAAGCTAAACATTTGTAGAGAATGAGAATCGCTGCCTTCCATTGAAAATACTTGCTTATGCCCCATCTCTGTTTCTATCCTCAGTTCTTCAAAAGATGCAACCAATAAATGTAAACGTGAAATAATCAGAAGAAGTTAGATGATACCTTTTGACAAAATCTACTAGCACATAAGTTGAAGAAAGTACCTTTTCCTGTAAGCTGTTTTCTTTTGATGTGCCAAACTGTAAAGCCTCCGAGTAAGAGGAGTACCAGACTTGCTACAGGAAGCAGAGTTTTCAAAAGTATATGCTTCTTCCTTTGCTGATTTTTGTTACTTTGTTCAGCTGTAAGACCAGAAATTTAAGTACCAACCAAAAACGTTTTTTCAGAAAAGTAAGAGGATTACATGGGGAAGTGGTAAAGGTATAAAACGATTCTTGAAAGTATCTTTTCACCTTCTTCAAATGTTCTTATGCTATTGACACAATACATTGTAAACGACTCTTGTCATCAAAACGAAAATAGTGGTAAAGTTGCATAGGTGCATGCATCCTCATATTAGTGGGGTTCGTTCACCTTTCATGGGTGTCTGGTCATTGAAGAGGAGGAAAAGGAGAACTGAAGTATTTCCTTGACAAATTGATTTCACTTCATAGTTAATGGCATAGACTAAGATGCACAAAAGGCATGGCAAAGATAGTTTTATGCTCTTGCATAAATTGGAACACCTAAGAGACATGTAGGCTATTTGGAGTTACCATGGCATAATTTTGAATTCTTTAGGTATATTTAGTTGGAGTTCAGTGTCATGATTCCTTTTTGGTCATTTTCCGTTTCCTGTTATAAAGAGTAGGTGTTTTACACATTAAGCCTAATATTTTAGAGCCTGAAGCATTCCTCCTAATTTCTAGTCTCATCTTGGAGTTCTTAGTGAATATTTTGCTAATTTGGATTGTTGTAGTCGTAGAGCTAAGACAAAGTATGAGTTTGAAGTTTTAAGTGGACTAGTAGGCCTTAAGGCCCAGGAATGAGGAATGTAGAATTTCTTTTTTAAAGTAACAGAGTTCAAGTTACAAAAGTTCCTGCCGATTTATAGTTTCCATGAGGTGAAAAGTAATGCAGCCTTTTGTTCAAGGGCTGAAGGTTATATGAGTAGTTCCTAGGGTTACTATTCCTGGTGGTTTTCATCTTGTAAATTACCTATCAAAACTTTGATCTGTTACCTCTTCTTTTGTACTTTTCCCTTTCTTTCATATCAAATTGGTGCCTGAATTTTGTTACCTGTTATGATTACTCCATTTCCCCAATCCTCCATTTTCTTCTGCCTGTCAATCGAGTTGTGGATGAAGTTGACAAATTTGGACAGATATTGGGCAGGTACTGGGATGCCTATGTCTCTGGACATAGAAGTACCTTAGGATGTCCTTTTAGTACTATATTTTAGAATATGATGATCTATACCTAGTCAACTTACTAGCATTGAAGTAGTGGGCATATTTGCTCTGTTTTATGCTTTGGGAACTTTTAGGTTTGTTAGATTGTAAAGAGTGCTAGTATCAGTTGGTTGTTAGGGCACTTTGCAGGTCAAGGCTTTTTTTTTTTCTTTCTCAAGTGGCTTACAAATGATTTCTTAAATCTCTCGAGTTTGAAATCAACCTGGAGTTAATCGAATTCTTTCCCAAAAGTCATTGAAAGAAAAACGAGGTTAAACATAGAAGTTTCACATAGTTTACCTAGGTCTTTAATACAGTTCATACAAAAGTTCCAATTCCAGAAAGTACATTCTTTACCTGCTGCCCGAGAAAGTTCCCAATTGTAATCGTTTGGAACTTGCCAAACTGCATACCCACGCAGACCCCTCTGTTTTGCATATGAAACTTTAGTTTTGACAACCTCAACGTCATCAAAGCCAATCCAAGTTGACCCAACACTGCAGTATTTCATAACGTAAGTTGTATTGTATACTGAAACAGCATTATATCGTTGAATGTAATCCCTGATAGCTTTGTAAGTCATGTCCCCTTCTGTTGCCACAGCTGATCCATTCGCTGGAGCACCCACTGCATTGTCTTTGGGATCCCTGAGCGTCCATGCATAGCCAAAGAAAGGCAAAGCCAGAACAATCTTGTTAGCTGGCAGTCCTCCACTTATCCATGAATTCATACCAAAATCTGTATTTTGGTTGCTTGCTGGATCATATAATGCAGCAGAAGGACCTGTATGTTCCGGATTTGCTACAGGTGTGTAGAAATCATATGCCAAAACATGCACCCAATCCATGTTCCTCCTTATTGAATCTATTGGGAGAGTTGCTTCACTAATATATTGTGAATAAGGAGCAGCCATTGTCAAGAAAAGCTTCGAGCTGCTGTTGTTCCTTGATTCTGATTCAACAGCAGCTCCCCATTCATTGAAAAGTGTTTCCATGTTAGTTGCATCTGCAGCCGTACTTGCTGAACGCCAGCTGAAGTCTATGCCCTTGAAACCATATAGCCTAGCTATATTTATCGATGAGTCTATGAATGACTTCCTAGATGAAAATTGGCTAACCATAGAAGAGTAGACTGAATAATTAGCTGATCCTCCTCCAATAGATAGAAGTGTGATAACTGATGGATTTTTCTGTTTGACAGTACTGGTAAATGCTGAGAAGTACTTCTGATCAGACGGAGAGATGCGAAGCTCATACGTGCTGGAGTTTATGTCGGCAAAAGCACAAATAAGGTGACTGAACAGAGCTGAATTTATGTCTGCAATGGGAAACTCCGTGCCAGAATACCAGTAGCCTGCCTTTATCCAATTTTGTGCTATCGAGTACGGCAGATTAGATGGCAGAATTACCAGTAAAAGCAGGATGATCCTACTGACTGATGCCATAAAAGAATTGCCTTCAGAGATTTCCAAGAGGTTTTGCTGTTTAGCAAACATGGCAACTGAAGATATTTTTGTTTAGCAAACTTTAATTTCCATGAGGACAATATGTTAAATCTCACAATAGAAAGTGGCTGGTTTCCAGCATCTAAACCTGAGGATTAGTAGGCTAGATTTCTGGCCTCTGCTAAATCATAAAATTCTCTGAAATTTTAGTATTTTACCAGTGTTTGTATCTATTTCTCCTCTGGTCAAAATATAGAAAACATGGTTCCAAACAAAGAATAGGTCTGAGCTGATGGAGACTAATAAATGTTTTGATTATTAGATGATGTTACAGCCTATCTAGAAACAAAACATAAAGTATGAATGGTTTTCTGGTTTGTCAGGTGGAAACGGTTGGTCATGAAAGAGGAAGAAATAATATTAAAGTAAGAGTCGAGATTTGTTCAAAACGAATCTCAAAATTGATTAGATGAACTGGCACAATTATTAATTAGCATGTAATTAATTTGCATTCTCAAATTTTTGATTGCATTTGAACCAAAGGTCAACGATGGGTATATTTTGATCCCATGAATAACTATTTCTACTGCTCTTATAAGAACCAAACAAATGATGAAAGACATGAACTCAAAGGAACCAAATGGAGCCAAGACAAAGAAGGCCACGCTTCAATTTCAAATCGTCACAAACATAATTCTCACGTCCATAATAGAATTCAAACACATGACCTTTGATGAAAAGGTGATCCGTTTTTATCGATTGACATCAGTCAAGATATTCAAATATACGATCCTTTTACAAGGAAGTGATCCGTTCTTATTAACTGAAACAGTTTGTGTTAATATCAACCTCCTGTTATCAAAAAAAAAAAAAACATTTGCTCTTCGAATTCATCAAGGTAGTCGAACTTATTGTTGTCCTAGCGATCATTATTTGACAAGTAATATATATTCTAGCAATTGGAGGATCAGTTCAGCAGCAGCATCATTAATTGCAACTATCGAATTCAATTTCCAACAACACTCATATAGTATTTTTTTTTCCGGGAAATTTGCCAAATTAGTCCCTAACATTTTCACAAAATACTTTTTTAGTCCCTAACATTTAAAATCAGCCAGAATAATTCCTAACATATAAATTATGAGCCAGTTTGGTCCTAATGCTCGTATTTGCTCTTTTTTCCGGCTAAAAATAGTACACCGGCGTAATTTCAAGGGCAAAATCGGAAAAATTCGTTAATTCATAATTTTGCAGTCCTCAAACTCTTCCACCGCTTCTTCAATTGATTCTCAACCTACTGCTACTAGGATGGAGAATTAACAAGAAAAATTGAATGAAAAGACAGAAATATCAAAGACACCAAAAAGAAGTTTCAAGAAATATCAAAGCCACCAAGAAAAAGTTTCAATCTCGAACAGAAGATTAATGGGAAATCTACTAGCCTGGCTAGAGGCTATGACAACAGGGTCAATCATGAGTTGTCCAGAAGGTGGAAAATTAAGCAAAAGGCTTTGTGGGTTAGAAAGCTTCAGCTTCAATTCTTTCAAACAAGACAGAGCCTGCATCTGTCACAATCAGCGGCTTCCAATGCATAATCATCTTCTTCCACAATACTCTGTACCAATATCTGCAGTTCCCTCATATTGATTGCTCAAATTTGGTAAGAAAGCTGTTGAAGCATTTTGGCAAGTCCACAGGCTATTTTTGCTTGAACGGAGCCCATATTCCTCCGTCTCTATTCAGCCATTGACCCAATCTCTTCTTCTGCTTCTGACTTTGTAAAATCATCCGTCCTTGCTCCTCTTAACCAAGGAATCAGCAACATGGGTTCTCTCAGGCAGCTATGGTTATTGAGAATTGAAGAAGACCCTTTTCAGTTTGGAAATCTCTGAATTCGATATCAATTTCAACAAAGAACTCATTTTTATCTTCTTATTTGGCAAATAATTCTCTGCACCTTCTTAAACCCACAAAGCCTTTGGAGAGCTTCAACAAAAGGGTGAGAATCAATTGAAGAAGCGGTGGAAGAGTTTGAGGACTGCAAAATTATGAATTAACGAATTTTTTCGATTTTGCCCTTGAAATTACGCCGGTGTACTATTTTTAGCCGGAAAAAGAGCAAATACGAGCATTAGGACCAAACTGGCTCATAATTTATATGTTAGGAACTATTCTGGCTGATTTTAAATGTTAGGGACTAAAAAAGTGTTTTGTGAAAATGTTAGGGACCAATTTGACAAATTTCCCTTTTTTCCCTCTGCATGCAATTTCCAACAACTCCTTTGAAACTACTAAAATCTCTACAACTGTTGTCTGGCGACTACATGCGACTTTTAGATGCAAGACTTTTTCACAGAAATCTCAATCGTCAATCGCCAGTATTAATTGGAAATGGCACTCACTCCTATCGGACCAAATATTTGCCCCCTTTTTTTTTTCTCTAGAAAGAGACTCTAAATTTTATAAGAGAAAAAATATTAAAGGGAACATATCTACCAATTCAACTACTTACAATAGTTACGTAAATTAGTTTAATATTAAAGTCGCATTTCTTATTTTTCTTGGGACCTATTTGGCCCATGACATATTAAAGAGAGTTAAATTGCCAACTTTACAGGGCTTAGTCTGGTAGTATCGAGGAAAGTTTAGTTCAGAAAAGGACAGGCAATTTTTCTTTTTCTTTTTCTTTTTTTTTTGGGGCTGCTTCCAGAATACCGTGTTTAAAGAATATCATATATTGGTTTTGAGCTTTTCAACCATTATTTTTCTTAGTCCGTGATACTACAAAATACAGGAAAAATTGTTTCCCATTTTGGGTCCTAACCCATGTTTTTGAGTTGTTGAATTTTAATCATGTGTCAAAACGCATGTTAATATTTCTATCCTCTCTGTTGAAATTAGAAGGGCTGGAATTTTCATACCGGAAATAAACTATCCAATGAAGCTATGACACTATTTTACAAGCATATGAGGTCACCTGAGAATGTTTTTTTTTTTTTTTTTAAAGGAAATTCATTCTTTTAAGTTTTCCATTCTGTGCTCTCTTGGCCTTACATAATTTGGAGACTTAATTAGTGGACAATCTAACGGAAAAACTGTGATCCGCTTCTAAGGGCGGGTACTATTGAGAAGAAAAGTATTTTTGGGTGCTAAAAGTCATTTTGAAACGTTTAGTGAACATCATCCTATAAAATTAGGAGGGGAGCTTTTGGTGTTAAAAGCACTTTTAGCAAAAACTTAAATTTAGTGCATTTAAAATAGTTATTGTATTTTTAAAAAAGAAAATATTGAATTTAATTATTTTACCCTATATTATGAACTAAATAATGAGATAAATATATTTAAAATTTTTTAAATTATACATTATCCAATACAATAATTTTCAAGTTAGAAACTCTTAGAGTTTTCCCTACTATTTGATTCAGAGTTCAGATCTTAGATCTGGTAATTAGGGTGAAAAGGATATAAGAAGGGATGCGAAGATAAAAAGAAAAGAAAAAAAAAATTTCAAACCGTAATACATTTATTTATCTTTTGATGGATTACACATATCAATGACATGGTATCATTATTCAACAATGCCAGCTCTCTTTTGGCTTATTATAAGCAACGTCAAATGATTTCCACCACCACTTCATGCTCCCCATGCTTGGTTAGCTACATTCAAGTAAGAAGTAAATTACTAACAAATATGAGAATTGTAGAAACATTGAGATATTGTGGATGTATATACAAATTAACAAGTTAAAAAAAAAAGATAAGTGATATTTGCATTTTAAAAAATGGGTTCTGATGCTCGACTTTAACATTTTATTACATGAAAAAAAGGTATACACCATATGTATGGACTCCAAATATCATTGCTAAAGAGGATAGTTTTAAGCATTGTCAATGACAAATTCCAAAAAAACACACATCCAATTCTAGCCATAGAAAAAAAAAGGAAATTTTATTTGTACTCCCTTTTTTGTTATTTGCACTTTCACTATTTGTTTTATGATATAGTCTAATAAATGAAAACTATATGATTGAAATAATAGTGAGAGTATGATTAATAAAAATTAGACGGCAAATAACATTTTCTGAAAAGTATTAGCTGGATGGACAATGTTCCATAGCCAATTATTAGATACAGTAAGAGGCTCCATTTTTCAAGGCGTATGGTGTCATTTTCTCCATAAATGATAAATCTAATCAGACAGGGAATTGCTTATCTTGGAATCACGCCATTAACTGACCTTGTCGTGATAGTGCAAAGTTGTTATCAGCTCCAATATGCCAAGCAAAGTACCCAAGAAGTCCATTTTGTTTAGCATATGAAACCTTGGTGGAAACTGTCTGATTATCATCATAACCGATCCATGTTGTTCCAGCATAGCAGTAATTGCAGACATATGTGGAATTATACACCACAACTGCCCCCGGGGTTTGAGCTACAAAGGTCCTTATATCTTGGTACCGCTTGACTCCATTATCCGGACCAGCAGCTCCATTTGCCGGAGCCAGGATCCCATGATTATTCGCGTTTACCAATCGCCAAGCATATCCGTAAAATGGGATGCCCAGAACCAACTTCTTCGCCCCGACTCCAGCCTTTTCCCAGTCTGCAATGCCAGAACTTCCACTAGCTTGGCCAGAAGGGTCCTTTAATGCAGCGTGACACCTGGTAGAAGTACTTGGACGATCTGGAGCGTAAAAATCATAAGCCATAAGATTTATCCAATCCAGGCTTCTGGATACTGATGTAATAGGATATTGATATAATCCATCCACCTTTGATGCAAATGAAACTGCAGCTGTTAAAATCAGCTGTGGCTTGCCTGAGTTCTGGGCCTCAGTTGCCACTGCGGCTCGCCATTCATCCAGGAGTGAGCCTAAGTTTGTCATCTCAGGAGCGGATTGTGGGTATTCCCAGTCCAAGTCTAGACCGTGGAAACTGTTGGCTCGGGCCAAGTTTATTGAAGAATTAATGAATGATTTGCGAGAAGTTGGTTGACTAGCCATTGAAGCAAAAGCAGTCCTATTAGAACTTCCACCACCAATAGATAGAAGGGTTTTAACTGAAGGGTTTTTGAGTTGAACTGTTTTGGTGAATTGTGAAAAGGGGCCAGCGTTTGAGGAGGATATGGTGACTTTATTGGATTGGGAATCAAGATCAGCAAATGCGCAAAATAGATGAGTGAAAAGAGTGGAGTCAATGTCTGAGAGTGC